TTTTTTTTTCTGAAAAGGTGGTGCCTATCTACTTGTGATCACGCTGTGTATATATTGATTCTCACAGACTTAGAAATGTAAACTTTATTGATACTGTGAACTGAGTTATCTGCAAGGTAATGTTTGTTTGTTTGAGAGCAAAGTCACATTGAGGTATCTTCTTTGATTACTGCGGAGAATCTAACCTCGGACCTAAGCGTCGTAAGATCGTAAACTTATCGCTATTTTACCAGGGGACCGCAATGTACTGACTTTTAAACATTTAAACACGACTATTGCTTGTTAGTCATAATGGACTTTAAAGAAGAAATAGTTTAAAATAACCGGACCATTAAATATATTATTAAACATATTATTAATTTATCCTATAAATTCTGTGTTAGACTCAATGAACTTTTTATTTTGTACAGAATCATCTGTTCTAATGATATAATGTTTCGAAGTAGTTTACAATTTATATCATTATCCAAGCGTGATATTACCGTACAAAGTACTTCAACAAATGAGATATTGTTCTGCCTGGCAGAACTCAACGTTGATTATAATATGGAATGTAATTCTAGAAATATGTGGTATGAATTTATCACGTCTTGAATTCGTTCTAAACCAAGATGCTCAAAGAGGCATCAAATTGCTAATGGATCATGAAGTATATGGAAAACAAAGTCACTTATAACATTATAACAAGAGAAAACTAGATTGAAAGTTTTAAGATGGGAAAAAAGTAATGAACAAACCCTGCAAAATAGATTACATTTCCAACCTATTCATATTTCTGTTTGTCATACAAATTTCCGAGAATAAATTATTTGTATTTGTCTTTTGTATTCATGGCAAAGTGACTAAGCCTACCTGCATCCGTCTCTGATTTTGTACTACTGACTAGAGGGAAGGCAACCAGTCAACAGTACCCCACCGCCAAACATACACGCTATGGGATTGACTGCCGCTCTTATAACACAGTCATAGCTTAAATTACAGGGAATATTGTGGTATCTCCTGGATTTGAACCTGGCTCTCGAGCTCTGAAATCTAGAGGTCTTCTATAGGAATATACCCACGCCACATTATGTTTATATATATATATATATATATATATATATATATATATA